CATTCAATGTCTCCAATGAACAGTTCAATAGATGGGCAGCGCGTTGAGCAGCTTCATAATTTGTAAAATAAATAAATACGCTGTCAGGTGGTCTATTAACATCTTGATGACAACAATAACCAGCACAACCTAAATGATAGATAACAGCAAGTAGACGTGCCAAGCCACCAGTTAACCATTCTGCTTTGATATTCAGCTCTAACTGTTCAGCATCACGACATAATTGATTCCAATAGATTTTAGCGGATTCTTTATCTTCCGGCTGAAATGAAATAATAATAATGAAAATGAAAACAATTCACAATATCATTATGTTTGAAATGAACTGTCGTCAAGATTTGACAGAATAGTTCTAAAATACTTGGGCACCGAGTGAGAAGTAGACATTTGTAAAAAATTATATTTGTAAAATCTCAGCGAGATTGACATGAGTAATTCCAACGTTTCGTTCGGCAATCTGGGTGCTTACACTAAACTCTAATCCTAAACACCATAATTTTGAAAATACGTCTCATCATAAAATTCTAGATACTAACAGTTTGAACAGACATGAAGGCGTGATGTTAGCTGATGCATAGGAAATCCTGATTAATACATAAAAAATGGATATGTATCACTAATTATTAATACTTGGTCAAAATTCTCGACTGTCCATATCTTCTTATGGAGACGTTAACAAATGTTTTACAACTATTTACTCACACACAAACACACTCTGTTTAAAGTGTTTAACAAAGGTAGACCAATATTTGTAAGTCCGAGGTCAAATTTTGATCACAGCTTATGAAAAATTTTGTTTATTATACTTGTTGAATGACTCATGATTGGACAAAGTTTTTTAAAAACAAGTGATGTTCCTTTTATATATAAACCTCTGTTATGTTAATTTCGATTAATTTCCCTGAAGAAGTTCTGACCAGATTGCCGAACTAAACGTTGGAAGTACTCATTTCAATCTCACTGAGATTTTACAAATATAATTTTTTATCATTATGTTTGATAAAAATGTCTTGTTTGGTATAGTATAGTATAGTAGGCGACAAAATGACTAAAGGTTGAGCAATACAAACAGCACAGTGAGGCTCGCATTAACAACACCCAAAAAAACCAACAACAACATTGTGACGCACAATCTCAGAGTTGGATACTAAAATCAATAAAAACCAAAGAAACGGCACACTTCACAAATATCTTCCTGTGACTGTTGAAATTTTCGTTCTAGTGAGATGACAGACTCAGGATCAACAATGTTCAACATGAACACGTTACCATTATATTATTATCATTATTGTTCTCTTGGGTTCTAAGCAAAAAACACTGGGCTACAACAACACATCTCTATTTGTGGCAGGCCATCTGATCTTTAGTATAGAGCCAGCGAAAGCAGCTGTTGAAGAAAATTTGCAAGAGCCTTTTGGAAATACTTTTTCTGACTCACGTCAAGTCCCTGAACTATAGGGAAGGACTGAATGACTTGACATCAATGTTGAAGATCCTAATCTTATTCGTTATTGCTGATCGCAGTAGATTACGACAATGATTTCACAGGAATGAACGTCTGTCTGGTTTTTCAGGTCCTGTCTGGCTTTCACATAATTATCTGTGACATTTGTAGGATTGAAACAATACACCCAAAATTGGTGAAAGAGGTAACACTGCCATCAAATTTCTCCCGTTGTCGATGACTAATACTTGTTATTGTTGGCAAGGAATCTTCATCACCACTGTCTTCTCTATGTTCACTTGAAATTCTATCTTCTCCACTTGCCCTTTCTAATAACTTGTTGGTTTTCGCCTGTAGATTTTAAAGTGTATGTAACACCAGACGTCCAGCAAGTTCAGATCTTCTGCAGTCGTCTTGTCGATTCAACGTACACCTATATTCTCTCCCCCTACGATTTATTTCAATAATTCAGTCCACTACAATCAGGAATATCATCAGTAATACGCCACTAGATTCAAGTGCAATCATTCTTTTTTTTTCAGAAAATACGCAACTATCATGAAATACCACAGAGGAGTAACTAATTCTCATCAAAAAGGAGTTGCAAAGTAAGTGAATGCATTTCACTTAAATTTTTCCAACAATAATAGAAATTTATTTAATTCAATTTTAGATTTTTTTCCGTCGACTGATTGGACCGAAGTGCTCGGTCTCAGGTTAACATGTCGACTTCTTGTGCAGATGCTTCGACGATGTCTGGGCATGTAATTAGAAGTTAATTGGTGGATGGTGACTAGCAGTGGAATCCACCAGGAGGCGCATTTCGTCCTATTTGGGACTCGTTAGCCACTGGATGTACCTGCATTCTGCAGTGAGTGTTCCCACTGTGGAACCCGGGACCCGCTGACTGAAAGTCAAGTGCCTAAGCTAGTAAGCCACATCTCCATGCATACTAGTTTGGTATTTTACTGATCAATAAGTATGTTTTAAAAAAAATACCAAAAATGATGGAAAAATGTAAAATTGGAAAAATTAAAATGCAAGAATTAGCATAGACTGGGGAGGGATGCTAAGGCACAGCTTGAAATCATGTACCCTACATACAAATATATATATATATATCAGTTTTAATTACGATTTAGTACATATATATGTTTTCTAAAACACTTAAAATCAATTGTCAACCTATGCAAATAAAACCAATTGATGCATTGAACACAGTAGGCGCTTTGTGTAATGAAAACGCAACTAAATCTATTGATAACTTGATGAATCACATTTTAAAAGCAATTAACAAATAACAAAGTAAAAAGAAAACGGCTCAATCATTAATTAGTTCGTGATAAAATTCATACTGAATAATTATCAAGAATTAGTTTATAGAGATTTGATTTGTTTCAAGTTTGAGCACGGATCGACATCCGTTAGTGGATCGTTGAAAATAACCAAGGAGTACTGGACACCTGAGTCGTTCTAGTTTCCGACTCATCGGCAATATGGCAAAAGTTAGAAATCGTGAGCTATTAAGTAGGTTGCCAGTGCCTTTATTGATATAAGAACCGGCCTTGTAACCGGCCCTGGGTTTGAACCTCGATGGGTAAGTACTGCCGATAAGTCCCAATCTAACAAGAAACAACTGTCCATTATCACTCCCCAGTTTTCAATGGTTCTCTAACCAATATCAGATCATGGTCAAAACTGAAATTATTCAAATCCTCACAAACAAACCCTTGAAAAATAATCTGTTGCTCGCTAGTGACCGGCTGCAGCATGAAGGTGTCTGGAAGTCGTAACCGGTAAGGCTCAACCAGATGGAGCGTGAGAACAAATGCTCGCTGATGACACTGGCTGGTGGTGGTGATCAAAATCGCGAATCAACAGAAGTTAGAATTCACGAGCTACTAGATTCCGTCGCAGGGAATAAATGATCAACGAGCACGCCTCGAAACATAAAGGTCCCAAGTATAATACTCGGTGAGGTCGTGAGTGCGTACCGCTGAAGATTCTCAGACTACGATGAAACAGCTGTCCAGTACTCCATGATTTTGAGTAGTTCTCGAACTGATATCAGCCCGTGATCAAGATTATATAACATATGGAAGGAAGCAACGATCTATTGAATGAATTAGGGAAGATGATCTCACACATCCTACAAGATGCAGATTATTGATTTCATTATATAGTAATCTCTCCTCATGACATGAATTAAATTCCCGCCTACCAACCAGCCACTTAACGGTTTTAATGTTATCTAGTGGATAATGACTGGCAGTGTGGAACCCAGTGGTCGCGAATTTCGTCCTATTTGGGACTCGTCAGCTACCGGATGTACCTACAGTCCCCAGTGAGTGATCATGGTATTCCCCCCTCACACTGAGACTCGAACCCAGCCAGTACCCATCGTTTCAAAAATGCCAAATCATTATCATCCACACTAGGCCACTTGAGCCACCGCTACTCACCATCCACCGAAATGACAACATTTTGATCTTCAGATACTAATGAAGCGTAAAATACAGATTTAAATTCAATAAAAATCTAAAGGTTTCTTTATTTCATCACTGTAATATGAAGAGATGGATTGCATTTTTAAAACAATCTTATCGCAAACTAACACACACACACATACACACATGCATAAAGTAGAGGAGGAAAGTAAACAGAAATAATCTCATAGCTACAATCTCTCTCTCACTTTTTGGCCTTCAGACACACGATACACAAACACGTGTAAGCACGCACACACACACACAGACAACACATACACCCTAGTCTGATGAATGCATCAATCATCATCAATCAGACGATGAGTATTAATATTTACTTAATAACCTTATTGTTTCTTTCTTTATTTCTTATCGTCTCTAAGATGAAAATCAAATTAGTGTATATATCCATTATTTCATTGAAGTATTTGAAGAGTTTTACATCAGTTATGTTTATAAACTCGAAAACTATTAACTGATCCTTAGTGTGAGCAACTATATCTCTCTGTCGCCTGTTATGACTGACAGCTGCAGAGACAGAGAGAAAAAATAGTAGCAAGAACACTTTTTTAATTGCAGTAAGTAGACTTGTTTTTTGTTATTGTCGCTCGCTTTTTATTCAGTCTTCTGCAGGATTGTGGGGAGGGGAGAGATAATAATAATAATATTAATAACAATCTACTTTATTCCAAAAACAGCACTACTTATAATACAGAATGGAATTCTCAGCTTTTCTCACAATATTGCATCTGATTTATTCAAAATATAAATAAAACTAGAAATTAAAACAAAATTAACCAGAGGAATTTGTCCACATTTATGGCATAAATTCAAAAATATCCAAAGTTGAAAATGAGAATAATAAATATAGTAATAATAATAACAATAACAGTGAGTTTGTTTCAGACAGTATTCCCAATTTATTTTGAAAATTTTAGCATGTTATAGATTATTATATCTACTGTTCTGTTGATATAGCATGGTGAGGGGAAAGACAAAATTCACAGTTATAACACAGCTTAAATGATGTTCACACTTATGAAAAAATAAACAAATAAAAAATGAAAAAATTGAGAGAACTATAAGTATAAGAAGTACAATAAGAATAAAGGTTGATGTTGTAAGGGTTTATTTAATAGTGCAAAGAAGGTTAGTTAGTTCATGCCTAACACTATTTTCTTCACATAAAGTACGTGCCAAATATGGTATAGTGGAATTTTTATACTTAGAGGTACGTGCATAAAGTCTTCTGTAATGGCTTCTTGTTTTACCTGAAGAGGAGACACAGAGTTGGAGTTGCGGGTGCTGCGGTGGATGCTCACAGTCTAACAAAATTCCTTTAGCAAATTTGTTGCATGACATCAAGTGCCTATCATCAATGACAATGTCAACGATATGGCCCAATTGGATACCACTCGCCCTACTGACAGTCTTCAGAGTTCTACGAAGTATGACATAGTCTTTTTTAAGCAATCCAGGAAAGAATAAGGGTGAACAGTAAAGCAGAATAGGTATGATGCACGAGTTGACAAACTGTAAGAGGAGGCGTTGGTTCAGTTATGCTTGAGTGCCTTAACTTCTTAATGCAAAAAGTCAGACGAAATATTCTTTTAGAAATCGCTAAGACATGAGAAGACCAGGATAGATCAGCAGAATGAATTAATCCAAGATACTTAACTTCAGACTTGATTTCTATGTCAGTATCATCAATTTTGCAATGGTCATAGGAATCAACAGCTTCACTTAACTTTCTTTTACATCGGAAACTGAAATTAACAGTCTGACATCTGGAAGGATTTAGTTTAAGGCCATTAGACGAAGACCATTTGCTAACTCTTGATAGAAAACTATTCATGAACGGCTTTTGTAGATACTGTTGATTGTGTATTGTTTTCTTGCTGTTGGGTCTTTTAGTCTGTATAGCACTGAATGTAGTGATTGCATTGGTTTGTGTGCTAATGGCTTTAGTATTTTAACCGTTATTTCAGTAACATTCTTTATGTAGATATACAATAGAATGAATTTTCTTTTGGTTGCTGAGGATGATTTCTTGCTGGTAGTTTCAGTCGAGTTTAAAGATTTCTTCATGAAATTGTTAAGATATCCACAGTTTTCCGATTCTCCTCAAGATCGGAGTGCTGCGCAGTGTGTTCCAGTTTCATCTATGTACTAATTGGATTATTGTTGTTGTTGTAGATAGGAATTCGGATTCCGTCCCAGTGGCTATATGATAACGTGACCACTACACAACCTGAAGGTCCAAGGCTCGACCTCCGGTGAGGTCATGCGTGTGTTATGTTGAAGAGTGTACGACCAGGACGAAACAACTATTCTGTACTCCATGATTTTCAATGGTTCCCTAATTGCTATCGATTTATGATGAAGTCTAACAAAGAACTCCAGCTCAATGTAAAAGAAAACAGTAATTCCATACTTGCTGTTGCGAGTGATTCTGCACCATAGGATCTCTCATGTCTGATTTTACAAATTTCAGTTGTTGCACGAACCCCATTCTGGCATAGATGAACAGTAGTCAATAAATTATCGATTAGTAATACATATTGGTCTCTCCCTCTAGTATTCGCCCTCTTGATACACTGAGGTAGATAGCGAGTACGTATGAGCATCAGATATCTTAATGAAGAAGTATAACTTCATCGAGTATAACTTACCTGCACGAAATCTTAACAGTGAATTCATAAGCTCAGTATAGTTTGTGTGGTGGTCCCACTACTAACTAGGATAATGCCATAAATAAGACCCTAATCAAATTCTAGAGTCATTTTACAAAAGCCCGAACTCCACTAGCCATTTGGTGAGACAAAGTACACTGAGGCGTAGCACACGGAAATCGTAAGCTGCTGCCGCCTAACACTACACCCACAAGCAATCCAGTAGAACAAAAATCAAACTAATAATACAATGCATTAAGATATCATAAATAAGGAATTGTCTCAACAACAAAAAATCACCGGAAACTTACTCTATGTAAACGAGTCATAAACAAATTCGGCGCGTCTAAATCAGTTAAGAATAATTCCCGTCTAAAAATGGAAAGATGAAAACACTTTGGTCAAAATATTTTAAAAAAAACATCAGTATCAATTGATATTAATCCATGATCAGACTTGAAACACATCAAATCTCTACAAATAACCCTTGAAAATTAATCTGATGCTTGTTAGTGACTGGCTGCAGGATGAAGTCTCCCGTAGTTCTAGTTCCCCGATCACATTGCCTGGTGCCAGTCACACTAAAATTATGAGTTGGGAGGGGTTGCAGTTCATCGGCTGGCCAAAGGCCTTGCGTCCGGATCCCAATGGATGAGTTCCAATGGAGAGTCCCAAACTAGGAGGAAACAGAAATCCAGTAATTTTTTCACTGGTTCTCTAACTGATATCAATCTATTATTATTCTCTTGAGTTTCGAAAGGAACATAGGGCTTCAACAACACATCTCCAATTTTTTCTACTTTCTGCTGTCCTCTTCAGCTGGGTCCACGATTGACCATAATCTCTCATCTCCTCCTCCCCACGTGATTTCCTCCGTGTCAAACTCGCATCTCCTTTTTCTCCTACATGTTTTTGGAACAACACACTCTTGGTTGGTTTGTTGTCAGCTAGAATTTATTGTTGCTAATTCCTTCTAGCTGGCCATTTGATCTTCGGTATGCAACCAGAGAGGCAGGCAGCTGTTGATCAGTCTGCAACTTGTTGGAAATCCTTTTGACGACCCGCGGTGCAGGTTTCTGACCCATATAGAAGCATTAACTGACTGACTTTACATTTGTATTGAAAATCCGAATCTTCTTATTTATGCTGAGCGATAGCAGATTTCCAAACTGTTTTCAGGTTGATGAAGGCGTATCTCTTGCCTTTCTGATTCTGGCTTTGACACCTATGATGAAAATCTTCAAAGCAAATCAAATCTCTACAAACTAACTTTTGACAATATTTTGACATGTATTATACTTTAAAACTGGTTTCATTTGAAGTTTATTTTAATGGGTGAAAAGTGTGATTCTACATATCGAGTTAGATTTCATTACGAACAGGCATAAATCACAAAAAGATTGAAAACTTCGGAGTACCAGATAGCAGTTTCATCCTATGAACGAAATATTCCCATATTGAATCATAAGAAAAAGGCACAAACATTTTCATGAGCTGTGCAATCTAATTATAATTAGCAAAGAAATCTTTAGACCAATCAGATACTGGTAAATTTTGTCCTTGGAAAAATTGTATTACATAATGTAAGGAAAACATGTTAGAGATAGAATTAAATTTATTACGTGAAACCCTACTAGAGAATGGGTATCCACCAAGATTTATCGACAAAATACATGAAGAAGCCTCCGGTGTCAAACATCGCGACGGTTCCTAAGAAGACTCTTTTCATGAACCTAGAATTCAGAGGTGATATCGCAGCGGAAATCCTCAGAAACCGCCTTTCTAAATGTCTGAAGAAGACATTCGCAACAGCCACTCTACGTATCACATTCTCCTGCAGCCATTTAATCCAGTCTAACACTAAGGACAAGATACCGATTTTGGCCACTTCAATGTGTATCTATCAGTTTACTTGCTCGTGCGGAGCAAAGTATATCGGCCGTACGCAACGTCAAGTCCACAAACGTATTCTGGAACACTGCCCAACTCGGTTAGCCAGAGGAGAAAAGAAGAATAGCAACAGCTTGATACTCGAAAACCTGGTCATCTCCAGACATCGAGCACCCCCACATGAATGCTTCACGGTGTTACACAGAGTCCCTCAATATCGTACAAAGGGACTTCGAATACGCCATCTGTACATAGCTGAAGCATTAGCTATTCGAGATCTGAAACCGGACCAATGCATTGAAAAGCGACAGAAACATTCTCTTTCCCTACCGTGGCCAGAGTAAAGCTCTTACTACAATTTTGCTTCTTTCCTTTATTGTGTAAGTTCCCTATTATTATTGTTATTATTTTATTATCATTATTATTCCCATTATCCACATTTTATTACCACTCTATTACTGTTTATTAATAACATTGCTTTTTCATACAGATTTTATACAAAAACACTTTATAGCCTTTCCACTAGTTCCTGTCCATTCTGCACGAGCTTATTGATTAGTCATTATCTCACACTTATTACGTCATGCCAACTTCTGTCTCCTTTCTAATTTACAATTAGTCATCCCTTCTTACACCTTACATTATGTAATACAATTTTTCCAAGGATAAAGTTTACCAGTGTCTCATTGGTCTAAAGATTTCTTTGTTAATTATAATTACGATTGTACAGCTCATGAAAATGAATTGTCAAAAAGAATATTTTTTTCACTGTTTGTGCCTTTTTCTTAAGTTTCATCCTAGCTTGGTACTATCTAGTAGTATGTACCCATCACTCCACTGAGAGGGGAGCCCACACCTTTCAGATTATAAAACGAGTTCGTTGACCACTCAGCTACCAATGAGTGGAAGGCAATCAAATAGGCCTTGAATTCTAACTTCTACCGATTCACGATATATACAGCTGCAGCTAGCTAATGTTATAGGCGAGCCAATGAATGAAAAAACGAGGAAAACATACTTTTAAAAAGTGTTCAATCTGAATAAATCAAATATTCAGTGCTGTACCACACTACTATATAATTAAATAACGCCAGCTTACCTTGATTCATCATCCAGTCCAGCTAATAAATAATAAAATATATGAAAATTCGGTTCAATTTCAGGTCGATCTGTAACACGACTACGCTCAAACAGCAATAGACGTGTTGTCAAACCTGTAATCATTAAACCAATATCTTCAGGCTGATTTACAATTGGCAGTGAATGAATTTTGGCAAATTCCAATGAGAATAAACGTAAAGCTCGACTTCCATTTGTATTGAGCACGATACGTGAACAAGTGAATGAATCGAGTAGATTGAATAGTGCACGTAGACGAGAAGCTTTAATTCAAAAAAAATTTAAGTGCAATTTACTATGAGAAAGTACACTGGCTGACTACATCTAAAAATCAAGTACACATTTACATAAGTAACATGGGAACAACCAAGTAACAGAGTTCGGGGTACCATTCCCGAGCAACATACTCCTAAACCCTAACCAGTTTGCTACCTGATAAAGTTTGCGAGTAAGACTAACAACACCATACACCCCCAGCCCCTGTAAAAGAAACGACACCAACGCTGCTGAAACTTCAAAAACCTTAAAGCTCCATGTTCTACCCGGGTCGTAATTAATCCATCTATGTAAACTTAAAAGCGTCGGTGGTATAGCGGTTAGGACGCTCACCGACCATGCACATGGTTCGGGGTTCGATACCCGGCCGATGCACACCATTACCTCGCTGAGCCAGAAATAATGCTGGTGAAGAGGAAAGGTTGGGCATGAGGCTAGCAACCCCATCCTGTAAAAATAAACACTGCTAGAGAAACTTCAAGCCTCTAGCTTGAAGCCCTATGTTCCACTGCGAACGTGAAGGAATAAAAAAACATCACCAATATCATGAACTACTGTCGTCTACTCATCTTATATATCAGTAGTATTTCAGTAGTAACAGTGGTTAGTAGTAGTGAAAAATTGAGGAGAAAAAAGCAACCATTTTTTTCTATCAATACGGTACACATAATACTAAGAGTTTCTTTTTTCGTTGTTGTTGTTGTTGAGGTATGTCCCCAATAAAATCCAAAAAAGAAGAAGCGAAAAAAGAAAAGCAGCCATTAGAAAACTATGAAGAATTTATCAGTATCAGAAGTATGATATATATTTTTTTTTAAATAAAAACAAATTTGACAGTAGTATATCATATAAAAGTTTGTTTATTTTAGGGTTGTGTATTTTTATTGTTGTTGTTGTTTTTGTCACAATAACTGTGATCTGACTAACCACAGAGATCAAAAAATAAAAGAATTGGTGATCAGACATATAGATTTATCACTTACCTACCTACCAGAATTACACTTAGATTACATCAGGGATGTAGGCTATCATATCGAAATTCTGTGTGACTGTGTGTGAAAAAGAGCACTTTCATTCCGCTCATTGCATTCCTAACAATGAGAAGTATCACTTTCATTATATATATTCATGATCATCAATCGAACAATCTACCCTTCAGTTTAACTAAACAAATAACTGACTAACTCTGACTGACTATAATACAGAAAACAAAAATTTGAAAAATGATAAAGTCTACCTCACTAAAATACTTTATATTACTTGAAAATATAAAAGAGACTTACCATTGATTTTACTGGATAAAACGTCATTCTTATTATTATTACCATTTGAGTGATTGCGCTTTTGTATTAACTTTTCAGATTGATAAATCATATACGCGAGTACATCATTGGATACACGTGTTTTACCTGAACCAGAACGTCCTAACAAGCAGAGAACTTGTTGACTAAGAGAAGAATACGGTAAACTATAATAAACTGGATCATTATTATTATTATTCAACTGTTCTTCTATTGTTCTATGTGTGTGGAATAATCGACGTTTTAAACGGGCTAGAATTAGTTGAGCGACAGAGTAGACATGCGGTGGCATATCATAGCGTATTTCACAATCCGTAAACAAATCCATAACCTTTGTGAATAATTTTCGTTTCAAAACAAGAAAACCAAAAAGAAAAAAAAACAACGAAATTGTTTTAAGTAAATTGTCGGTTAGAATTAACTTTGTCACATTTGAAAAAGGCAAACAGTTTAAGGAAAGAATCACTGCCATTTTTGATTGAAAACCAAAAACAAAAAAAAATTCACATCACATAATATGTGATGATCTAGTCGATATAACGGGATAACTGTTTGGAAAATCCCTCCCCTTGATTCAAGTAACTTTGTAATTATTCTCCGTTCTTGTCCTAGGCTGTATATTATTATTGTTGTTCTGACGTCTGCATATCATATACTGCCTTAATCCTTATTATTTGTCTTTGTGCCTTCCTGTTTAATCTCTAATCTGAATGCTTCTCTTTGTGGTTGTGCAAAGCATTGATTATGTACTGTTGCACAATGTGATTTCGTTTGAGTGAATCTTGGTCATTTAGACCTCCGACTGTCACTGTGGGAATTATTGGTGTGTGATTCTTACGGAAAAAGTTTTGATCCCACCTTGCTGCGAATATTTTACTTGATTCCAAGGTAATTCTTACGGCTGAATTTTGGTCAGCAGCTTGAAGATGAGGCAGTAACTCATCGAAGAAAACATTGCGAAGTGGTCGCGTTATGCCATGAATTGGCAGAAGTTAGAATTCATGGGCTGGCCATTGGATCGGGTCCCAGTGGCTTAATGGTCTACGAGCTAGCTCGCCTTGTAACCAGAAGGTCCTGGGTTCGAACCCTGGCGGTGGATGCGTACTGATGAAGAGTCCCAAACTAGTTTGACGAAACAGCTGTCCAGTACTCCCAGGTTTTCCAGTGGTTCTCTAACTGATGTCAGCTTATGATGAAGTCCTCCAACCAATCGAACAAAACCCTTACAAACCCAATACTTGATAATTTTGTTCTACAGTACTTATTTTCTATCTAGAACGTTACCTTGTCTGTATAGCTGTCTGACAGCACAGTTGAGGTGATTTTGAGTTTCTAATGTTATTATTATTGTTGTTGAATAGAAGTATCGATTCTACAGCTAATAACCGTCGTTTTGCTGTTGTCTTTAATGAGTTTTGTGACTATACACGACTCAAAGAAGTTTTACTCTGCTATACAGTAGGACGTAGAGATCGGTCTTGCTGTGTTCACATCACAAGGAGTCAGTTTTGGTAGTTCCCGACCGATAACTGCTACCTTGCCATGGTGGTCGGGCTTGAATGCCGCAGTGACCCAACAAGCTAAACTGGCTGGGACTCACGTCCCTGCAGGTCCTACCATGTCAGGAAGGTTGTTTGGATAGCGGTTAGACTAAAAGCAGTTACCATGGGGTACATGGACTCCAGAATTCAATCGGATCAAATGGCGTATGAACCCATATGGGTCACCGGCAACCATGGGAACGCAGCCCCTGACGCTGCTCCGCTGCCTTGCGGATTAGACTCCAAGTCAAAGGCTCGGGGGGTGGTCCCTTAAGAAAACCACCTGCTTCGGTCTGGGCGCCCGGGCAGTATCTCAGCCCTCACACAATATTGTGTAGCGCATCTTTCTTGGTGCCATATTGTACCAAGTTTCTCTGCATTTAAATAAAAAATAAATTAATAAACAGTTTTGGTAGTTACAACCTAGATCGAATTCACGATTTGCAAATCAGTTCTCAATGTACACAGTTCGAGCTGAGTAAAACCGACTACACGGCTGATTAGTTCAACTCTAAATGAGTGAAACAGCCATTCGGGGTGCTCAGATCATCCCCCTGATCTGGCTAAATGATAAGCATTACTGGTTGGTGTGTGCAGTAGTATGCAACTACTCATCTCAATTAATCAGTAGTACAAAGTCTTATGTATTTTCGCTTGGTTTCTTGATTACCATTTCTGCTATCACCAAGAAGATCAGATATTGGGATTTGAATACTTCTTGGTCTCCCAATTGAAACTGTGGTAAAATTTATATTTCGATTGCATGGAGGATTTCATCATGAGCTGACATCAGTTAGAGAACTACTGGAAAACCTTAGAGTACTGGACAGCTGTTAGTGTTGTCCTAGTTTAGGACTCTTCAACAGTAAGCACTCACCACCAGGGTTTGAAACCAGGACCTTCTGGTTACAAGGCGAGCTAGCCAGCAGACCATTGGAGCCACTGGGACCCGATATAATGGTCCTTGAATTCTAAGTTCTGCCAACTCACGACATGGCGTGACCACTTCGCAATGTCTTCTTCGATGAGTTACTGCCTCATCTTCAGCCTACTGTACCCTATCGGTCACGGCTTCCCACTCGGAATTGCGTATGAATTTGATTGAAAAAGATTCAGATATACAATATGCAATCTGCTTGATAACACAGATAAATGGTTATGAAGAAAGCAACGAAAATAGTATAATACTATATACTACTGATTGAGGAGTCTCTTATGAGTAGTTGGAAACCATTCATATCAAGCAGTAAAGTGTGCCCAAGCCAGATCGAATTGAAGTTCCTCTCACTTGGTTTGTACTCGAGTCGGTGTTTAAATCATTTCGACCTGGATAGCAAGCAATACTATTTGATGCGAATACTTTCCGATTACATATATCAATCTGTAGTATACACACACACACACGATCAACTGGTTATATAATTAACCGACCAACCAAGGATATAGACGAACCGTTGAAAAGAAGAGAGCACTAAACGGTTGTTTTCCTCTATGCCTTCTATATCTTATCATTATGAACATCAGATATTATATTATATTATGAAGTGATCGGAGCACACCCAGTCGCCGTCATGTATGTATGCAAAATACATTCAAATTATATATATATATATATGTACCTAGAATATGCTTTTCATTATTCATTCACTGGGTTTTGAGTGAAAAATAGGGTCTTAGAAGCATATCTCTATTGTACTCGGTTCTCTGACTAGCTTTATCACTAACCACAACACTTTCATTGATCTCTTTACATTACCTTCCATGCTTACTACACACTCGAATACTACTATCGTCATTTTCGATTCCACCTCCACTTGAGAACTTAGTATACGATGTTTCCTACAGGTATAACCAGCGTATGCTCGAGCTACCTACATTTCGTTCAGCATATCTATTGGGCGGTAAATAGGTTTCTAGCTATTTCGCTTTATTTCCGGAATTCCTTGTTGCTGGCCAGCGAAAGAATATGTTGATGAAAGTCTACAACAATCTATCGATGGGAATGCTTTTGATGGCACATGCGTTAGGTCTCTTAATCATATTAGAATTATTGACTTGACACTAGTGTTGAAAATTCCGAGCTTATTCGTTGTAATAAGTTATATAGATCTCCAAATTGATTTCAGGGTAATATGGCCCACATCGTCATCCAAATCACCTGTGGTTGAAACGACGCTATCTACAAAAAGTGCAAGAGGTGACTTCCTCAGGATTTCTTCTATTGATGATGATCGGTGTTTGCTATTGGCCGGACATGTTTACCACAAAAGGTGGAAGCCTTTGTCACTAAAACAGGTAAGTGGTGTTTGTTTTGTTGATTAACGTCAGTGAATGGTAAAAGTTGAAATGTTCAGAAAAAAAAGGGTTACACAAATCCCTCAAAGATAAGTACCCCCCCCCCAGCGGACAAGAAACCCTGGTTCATAGCTACCTTTCTAATGGTAATCTTTTCATAACAACTGAAATCTATGTTTCTTAACAAGATTCATATCCTATAAAACACTACACGATGTACTTTCCAAAAAAGAAATATTCGAATCGATTGTTGAAATAATTTTATTAGTCATTAATAACTACAGCACAACATGATAAATGGAATACAGACGCGCCTACCGTATTTCAAAAACAACACACCCACCTATATATATATTTGAACAAAACAATAAAATCACATGAAACAGGATAAAACGGACGCAATGTTTACTTCGTCTATCAGCAACTTATCAACTGAATACAACCTGAGTGATGAAAATCAATAGTTCTATTACAGTTTTCAATAATAATTTAGTAGACTGGAGATAAAGTATGTTAAAACTGTAATCGAACTATTAACTTTCATTTATCAGGTTGTGCATGCAGCTGATAAGATACCAAGCGACGAAACAGACAACTGGCAGAGAACCGAACGCAATGGAGACGTACGGCTGAAGCCCTATGTTCCCCTAGGAATTAGAGGAAACAATAACAATAATAATAATTTATAGTTATTATTATTGTTCCCTTGCATTCCGACTGGAACATAGAGCTTTAACAACACATCTCCTCCACTTGTCCTATTTTCTGAGGTCCTCTTTAGATGGCTCCACGACCACCTATAGTCTCTCATCGTTTCCCATTCGGGTAGCACTCGAGCGCTGGCCTATTGCGCGATGTAATTCAATGGTCACCTTAGCGTGTGGCCGATCCATATCCACTTTTGTCTACATATTTATTGAGGAACCTCGAAATAAACAATAGATCCATTCTATCGTGCACCATGCAATGTTATTTGCTTTGTTCAAATTTATGAAAGGGGAATTTTAGCATATAACTCCCTATTTCAGAGTCATAAACTGAAAGTAACGCGGGGATTATTCCAGTTGACAGATGACATAGCTTGGTGATTAATTTCGAACTCATCATTAATTACTTTTTGCATTGGTGGCTCAACTGCGAAATCCTCACCAAGTACACACACATAGGCTAGACTTGATTCCCAACCGACGCACTCGTAAATCTCGCTTAGCCGGTAGTTAGTCTGGTAAGGGGGGAATGTTGTGAATGAGGTTAACAACCTCACCCCGTTAAAAAAAATAACAAATATCTCTAGCAAAACTTCACAGCTCAAGGTTGAAGCCTTATGTTTCACTAGAAACGCAGAGGAATCAAAAATAAATAAATAAATTCTCAGGAGTATGTGTGTAAGGATTTTAATTTATTTCAAGTTGGACCGCGGAATCATATCAGTTGGGCAACCACTGAAAAACCCCAGGGAATACTGCATAGCTGTTTCGTCCTAGTTTGTGACTCGTCGGGAGTACGCACCAACCGTCAGGGTTCGAACCCAGGACATTCCGGTTACAAAACAAGCTAGCTCATAGATCATTTTAGCTACTGAGACCCAACTCAACGGCCAACTCATGAATTCTAACTTCTCGTAATTCATTATTTCCTTGTTTTCAATAGTTTTCTAACTGATATCATTACTCAGAAGTGTTTTAAGAAGTAAAAATAAAGGTTGTAAATTACGTAATACTCAACGGCACAAAGAAAGAAAGGGTTAGGAATTTGATAAGGTTAAAATTGTTATTGAGTGAGAAGAAAGGTAGTTGGGTGTCATTTTAACAAGTACAAAAGGAACATATGCGAGTGATAATGGTGAATTAATTATTAAAGTAAAAGCAAACTAATAGTAAAATTAAAAAAATAATTTTTTTACAGGGAACGACGACTAGCAAAGCGGTTGGGACCATCTCTGAACATTATCCGGCATGGTTAGCAAAATGACAATGGAAGACAGTTACTAGCTCAATTCTCGAGCACTCGGTGAACTCAAGTTCAAGGCATCAGCTTTCGGCATTTGTGTATGACGGAGACGCTGGCAATTCGTCAATACAACCCCGAACTCTGTATACAGAAAAAGTTTGTTCAGTCTCTTATTCTACCATGGTCTTATCCTCTTCCCTAGTCGTTCACTGTAATTTTTTATATTTTTTTTATTTTCAATTTTACTTTTACTTTATTAATTAATTCACCATTATCACTCGCATATGTTCCTTTTGTACATTTCCACACCCTTTTCACACTTGTTAAAATGACACCCAACTACCTTTCTTCTCACTCAATAACAATTTTAACCTTATCAAATTTCTAACCCTTTCTTTCTTTGTGCCGTTGAGTATTACATAAATTTACAACCTTTATTTTTACTTTTGGAGCCACTTCCAAGTAATTATATTACTCACGTCACCTCCTATTACTCAATAACTGATATCAATCCATAGATAATTGATTTGAAGCACACTAGTGACCAACTACAGGAAAAAGGTGTCTGGAGTTCTAGTGAGGAGCTATGAATAGTGGGATCCATCCGGTCGGGTGTTAGGACAAATACTCGCCGATCCTATTGGCTGGTGCCAGTCGCGCTAAAAACACGAATTGGGAGAAGTTAGAATTCGTGGACTAGTCATTAAGTCCAGTCTCAGTGACTGAATGGTCTACAAGCTAGCTTGTCTTGTAACCGGAAACCCTTGGGTTCGACTCTCTGTGGTGGTGATGAGAACTCCTGATGAGTTCTAAACTAGAACGAAACAGGTATCCAGTACTACCTGAGAGTTTTAAATGGTTCTCTAACTGATATCAATCCCTGATCAGACTTGAAATAAATAAGTCCCTTTATATGTCTTATTGTGCGTCGGTGGTATAGCGCTTAGGATGCTCGCCGACCATGCACATGGTCCGGGGTTCGATCCCCAGCCGACGCACTCCTTTACCTCGCTGAGCCAGAAATGATGCTGGTAAAGAGGAAAGGTTGAGTATGAGGCTAGCAAACCCATCCTGTAAAATAAACACTGCTACAGAAACTTAAAGCCACTAGCCTGAAGCCCTATGTTCCACTGGGGAACGTGAAGGAAAAAAATATATGTCTTATTACGCAACAATAATCCCAAAACATTTTTAAGCATAAAGATAAGCATAAAACTCATTACTAGCTTAATAGAACCAGAATGAAACAGACATTAACACCAACAACAACAACAAAAACAATAACAACAACCTGTTAACTCACTTTGTCGGAATAAATATTCAACGGCATCATTGGATTAATACTGATCAAATTGATACCTGAAGCATAGGTGAATATTAATCCAGAACCATAACGTTGTATAAATGAATGCGTTACACTGGATTCATTAACATAACGTAATTTAATAAGATCATCAACACGATCCATATTTGAAGGATTTGCCTTGACAAAAAAAGTTAAAAAATGAAAAGAAAAAAAATTGAGTAACAACAAAATTGAACACTTCAAATGATTGGATATGACATAATATAATCCACAATATAAATGTGGTGAATGCCGTTGTTGTTGTTGTTGATTGTACTCAGTTAACCTGAACAGACATTTTATTTATTCCGTGAGAGTCAATGATACTACCACCCAGTTTTCCTGGCTGAAGAGTTGTTTACAGCAGGATTCGAACCCGAGATCCAATACCTGAAAGTTGAGGACTTTACCTACAAAGTGGTAATCTCATTCCCTATGCGCTAGATTGTAAGGATTTGATAGATTTCATCAGTGTTCTCTCATGATCTTATGTAGGATCGAACCCTCAATAGCCTCAGGTCATAAGATGAACCTATCGACCATTCAACCACCGAATATCAAACAATGAACTAAATCCCTCAGTTCAGTGTAATTATTAGAAAGCGAAGGAATCCGTTGACCGGGCTATAAATTATTAAGATAATCATATCGACGACGACATGTGTCAATGCTGGTGAACATTGAACAGTTTGTTTATTCGGACCGGCCCCATTGGCGGGACATAAGAAGGTTATCACTGCTTAATCGTGTTCTGGTTGGTAGAAGATTGGAGAAATAGGATCAGAAGTCTTTTTGTATATTATTATATTAACGTTTATTTACAGACTTTGGAACTGATTAACAGTTGTAAATCTGTTTCGTTATCACTTGAAGAATAAACAATGGTGTTGCCCAACCGTTTTCTGTTATTTTGCGTCGATTACAGTGAATAGTATTCTGTATATTAGGCTTACTGTTCTGAAACCAGAAATAAGTGCAGGATATCTGAGATCTGGATATTTGACAACATGTATAGACAGCAACAGTTGAATAGTAATCATTCATTCATTTGTCAAATACGTGGTTCATCAGAATATTGATGTTTACACTGGCCAGGAGTAAATAGATCAATAACTTAACTGAAACAACAGAAAAGGTATTCATGCCCATACCTGGAGAATGGACTACATTTACTTTCACAGGACTAGTGAAGAAACTACATGCCTAGCAAGATCTTAGTAAGTGGAATAGACATCAATCAGTTGACTAGTTGAATGTCTGACAACCACAAAGACCGATGAGTCAACAGCAGCTTAGATTAATTTTACTCCATACCAACGGTAAAGAAAACTTGAAGCAGTGATTTTTAAACTGACTGGTTGACAACTTGGAACAAAATGAGCTACACACCTAATCTCAATGAGTTACCAACATTAAGAACTAGACATATCATGGAATCAATGTATCAATTTCAGTCCTAGAGAAAGTGACTCGTGAGTTCGAACAGCTCAATGGTAACTCTTCTGAGTGAAACACTGACTGACACAGGGTTCAAATCTCCAAAGGGAACATCGATTCCTTCGACGTTGCAAATATGCAATTCCGATGAGTACCAACAAGTAGAAAACTTAGGGTTAGGGTATCTTACCAACCGCCTTCAACCATCTAAATAGATTTTTTTACGTTCCTTTACGTTCCCAGTGAAACATAGGGCGGCTTCAAGCTTTAGCTTTGAAGTTTCAATAGCAGTGGTGTTTATTTTTACGAGGTGGGGTAGCTAGCCTCACGCCCAACCTTCCCTCTTTGTCTAGCTAAGGCAGGTAAAGGAGTGCGCCGGCCGGGACTTGAACCCCGAATCACGTGCATGGTCGGCCAGCGCCCTACCCTTCAACCACCGACATACATCTAATTAGACGAAAACCAACATTTAATAGGCAATAAGTGAATTAAAATTGTGTATATGAGATAAGAATTCAAAGTTAGTTACTCTATTCTGTAAATCATAGCCAAGGAATGAGAATGAATAATAAATAGAATGAACAATCCTGTTACATTAACCCCATAGTAGAGTTTGAGCACTATGGTAGAATACGATTCCAAATTAAATCAGTTTATTTAATATAACACATCGATAAGATATTACATTATGTGGATGACGTTTCAAGTATACTCAAGTCATCATAATCATAGCAATATATTCAGACAATAGGGGGAGTTTTCTTTTATATTTCTTTTAGCTTCGAATGGAAAATAGGACTTCAAACTCTAAGCTTTGAAATTTCAGTAGAGATGGTGTTTTTATTACAGTGTGGGGTCGCTAACAAAAACAAAAAACGTAGCAACAATTTTCAAGTATGAACCATTAAAAACCAGAGAAAATGCTGGACAGAAGTAATAGGATTCGTTTACGAATGGATTCCAATCCAATAGCTGAACGATCAAGGGGCTGACCTCGTTACCTGGAGGTACTGAGTCGACCCTCGCAGGGTCATGGGTGCGCACTGCTACACTGAAATGCTTGAAACTAGGATGAGGTAGCTATGCAGTACAATATTTATTATTTTTATTTGATTATTTTGGTTACAGCTTGATTCCACACCGTATTTATTGGTACAGGTATGGAATTTTCAGCATGTGATATCGGTAGCCCAAATTTTGCAGGCTGACCATAGATATCAGGTGTGCGTCGGCAGAGGATCGAACCCCGGACCATGTACATGGTCGGCGAGAGTCCTAACCACTGTGCCACCGACGCACAGTGGTGGCACCATCATCAAAACTGAAACCAGTTAAATCTCACTGTAAACCAAAACTTGAAAATAATTTACAACAAAAGAAGAAGAAGAAAACAGAGTTTCTTACACGTTCCACCACTTCAGTATTCACTTCGATTACTTCTTGTCCGGGTAGAATAAGTACACGACATCGTCCATTTGGTAGTGAGGTAAGAAATTTCCCTGAAACATAACCTTGTCGAAATGCAACCCATACAGGGAAATTGACATCATTATCATCATCATGACTGGTCGTCATATTATTATTATTATTATCAGCATCACATCCAGAGTGTTTGTAGTCCTTCATAGTAGACTTGCATATAATACTTCCATTACTGGTAAAATTTAATTCATCAAAAGAATCAGAGTTTAACTGAAACTAACAGAAAGGAGAAGAAGAAGAAGAAAAAAAACAATGAAATAATTATTGGATTAATTAAAATAATTAATTAAATATCAGATGTCAGAAGGAGAACGTAGATAAATCAACACAGCTCAGTTATACAGCGCATGACTACTTCTAGTCCTAACAGTATCTATAGAGACTGAATTCAGTATCAGCCAAAAGAATTTCGCCTACATTTTTTTTTCATGGTTATCCATAAGAAAGAACCTGAACTGTACGCTCAAAAATAATTTACCCTGCCTCTTTTCCTACTATGGATTTAGTCTCAACTTTTTTCATATAACATAAGTTTATTTGTGGTGTGTGTATGTGTAAGTGGTATTAGTTTGTGGGGGAAACAACACAGTTACACTGTATTATATTAACAGTGATGTACTGATGTCGCTTTTTCATCACATACGCCTTATGATCTGTTTTTTTTATTCCTTTAAGTTCCCAGTAGAACATAGGGATTCAAGCTACAGGTTGGAAGTTTCGGTAGCAGTGGTGTTTATTTTTACGGGATGGGTTGCTAGCCTCATGCCCAAACTTCCCTCTTTACCAGTCTTATTATTGGCTTAGCGAGTTAAAGGAGTGCGTCGGCAGGAGATCGAACCCCGAACCACCTACATGGTTGGCGAGCGTTCTACCACTGTGCCACCGACGCACTCGCATGTACTCGTTTCGGTGGTACATATACTAAAATTGGAACGATGCAGAGAAGATTAGCATGGCCCCTGCGCAAAGACGACAGGCCTTATCATGTAGAAATATTGAATTGAATTGAGGCAATCGGGAAACTTTTCCTTTGAACTGTTTGATAAGATGTTTAAACAGAGGTCAACATGGTATATATATATATATATATATATATATATATATATATAGTTCTAGTGAGAAGTCGTGACCAGTGAGGTCCATCCAGTCAAGTGTGAGGATGGATTTCCCACCGATGACACTGGCTGGTCGACGCGCTAAATCACAAATTGGTAGAAGTTAGAATTCACGGGCCATTGAATCGAGTCCCAGTGGTTGAATGGTATATGAGCTAGCTTGTCTTGCAACCGGGAACCCGTGAGTTCGAACCCTAGTGGGTGCATACTGCTAATGATTCCCAAACTAGACTGACGAAACAACTATCCAGTACTCCCAGGTTTTCCAATCGTTCTCTAACCGATGTCAGCTCATGATGAAATCCTGTAACCAACTAAACATTCCTATTTTTTATAAAAGACATAAAATGAAATAACTTCGGAGTCCCCTGATTGGACACTTTCGATCAGTTCATATTTCAAAAAAAAATAACAATGAGAACAATAATTCTATTTTGGAAATAAAAAGCTTTCTGAGGTGAACAGATCACCGAATGAGCTGATAAACCCTAGGGATTCATCATGATAATTATAATTTTAACAATAATATACAATCTTACACAATATGATAACTTGTTATCAACAAAATTTGCACTAATACAAAATAAGGAAGATCCACAGACAATTCAGGCTTTTAAGTTTGACCACAGAATGACATTAGTTAGGACCTTCTGGTTACAAGGCGAGCTCGTAGACCATTTAAGCTGATACAACTTCCCAGATAAGTGAAGTGGTCAACACACCCAGCTATTTTACTCTCTATCTTTAAGTCATCCAATCCTGTGGCATCATTTTACATTTGATAATCGTTCCAGCTGTTTCGTCCTAGTTTGTGATCCATCGAAAGTACGCACCAACCGTCAGAGTTTGAATCCAGGACCTGCCGGTTACAAGACAAGCTAGCTCGTAGATCATTCATTCAGCTACTGGGATCCAACTCAATGGCCAACTCACGAATTCTAGCTTCTCCTAATTTGTGATTTTGACGTCTTCAATAGTTCTCTAACTGATATCAATCTATAGTAAAACTTGAAACACATCAAATCCCTACAAATAACTATAGGTAATTCATCTAAAACTCGCTACTGACTGACTATAGGACGCAGGTGTCTGAAGTTCTGGTGAGAAGCCATGACCAGTGGGATCTATCTGGTCAAGAGTGACGACAAATACTCGCCCGATACTATGCATTGGCTGGTGGTCTCCCTAAAATCAACTACTGAGTGTGGCTGAATGGTCTACGACCTTGACTTGTAACCGGAAGCTTATTGGTTTGAACCCCTGTGTGGTGGGTAAGTACTGCCGATGATTCTCAATGTGGGACGGAACAGCTGTCCAGTACTCCCTGTAAGTGATATGAATCCGTAGTCAAACTTCAGGTTAGTTTTTTTTTAATGATGTTACACTAAGATTAAAACGCAGACACAAGGTAAAATAATCAATTCGTCTGCTGTATTGTGACCAACTGATACTAAGGCATACCACCCTATTCACAATTCTACGTGAAATAAACATCCAACTTAAACGACCTATACTTTTTTTATATACCTCAAGAGAATATTCACCAAGAAAACGAAAAAAACAATGAAATATGATAAAAAAAAGGAAGGAAAAAAGTGTATAATACAAATTCTCTAGTGTAACATAACACCAAAGAGTTAATGAAAGTGTCATTAATTACACATCATGATAAATATATACATCAAAAAAATTTTTTAATGATTACACACTACAATTACATTATACACCATTTTGCACTTGCTATAAAGTCATAGAAACATGAATATAACAAATACAAAGATTGAAATATAATCACTCTTAATTTTAATATACTATACATTTCAGTGAAGCATGTATTGATTGTAATGCAGATTACAATTATTATTATTGCTATTATTACAAACTAACATCCAATACAATGCACTGAGATTTCATGATATTATCATTTAGCTTTTGTTTGACAAATCGTCTTTCTTCATTAAACAGAAAATAATCACCTGGTTGATACCAACTAACCCAGGGAGTTGACTAATAGTGAAGGCGTGTGTTTACCTAAAATCCTAATGGTTTTAAGTAGGAGTCTGTCAATCTTTTCTTTCCTTGGACTTTTCAACCAACACAATGTAGAGTTTTTGACAAATAATAAGGTTAAACATGATGTTACTTGGTTGATTCACGAAATGTTTCTTCCTAAATGAGACCCGTCAACTGAACGCACCTCCGCACCCTCCCGATCCACCCAGATAATGACCTTTTTTCTTAATGACAACCAAACCCAGCTAAGTGTCGACAAAGACCAAGTACCTTAACTCAGTATAACCAGCTAACGGGAAATTCGAAATAGATTTAACAAATAAAGTTAAAAATTCATAAACACTATTATTATTATTATTATTATTATTATTATTATTATTATTATTTATGGAGATGAATCGGACACATTGAGTGACATTACGTGCCAGACCCAACATCGAGCGGTACCGAAATGGGAAACGAAGAGTTGGGTGTTAATCCAACGGTGACATAAAGGAGATCGCGTGAGGAGGAAGTAAAGGCTTATGGGAAATTGTGGAGTCAGAAGAAAAAGCACTTAATGCAGCCACATGAAATGGGGATTTGCTACTAAAGCCCTACGTTCCTCTTGGAACCCGAAGGAATAATAATCCACGATACTTCAACAGTTCAAAATTTTATTGAATATAAAATAAAACTTTGTCCAACCACTTCTTGAAATCATTATCCACATTTCAGGCGTGCTAATTAACTAACTATTCGAAAGAACATATTATAACCCAAAGACACTGTAATAATAGTAATTACATAACATATTTGGTGAAAACATGAGAAAAAATTGTCAGAAGAACTATACACTATCAAATCTGTGGAAACTAAAACACTTGCAAATTAATCTGGTGCTTACTAGTGACAAGGGTTGACCACCCCATAGTGAAGTTGCCTGTAATTCTAGTCAGAATAACGCGACCCACCACCTAGTGTTGGTAGTGAGGGCAAATACTCCCTGATGACACTGACTGGTAGTCACGCTATATCTATCGTGAATTGACGGAAGTTAGATTCTACCCTAATAGCTGAATGATCGATAAACTCGCCTTATAAATTAAACATGGGCGCGAAATGCTGAAGAGTCCCAAACTAGGACGAAACAGCAACCCAGTACTTCTTAGGGGTTTCCAATGATTCTCTAACTGAAGTCAATTCAACACTGAACAATATAAACCATCTAATTAAATGTCTCTTTGATATAATAAAAAGCAGGAGTAAATCATAACCTTCAAGAAAACAGTCTAAGCATAATATGTTCCTCTTTAATCCTATCTAAATTATTCAGTGAACAAGGCTGTTCCGACTCAAATGACGATGATAATAATAATAATAGTAATAATAATAGTGGTTCCTTTTAAAAGTAAATTCGCTTACCATCATCCGGTTCATAGTTAAAGTATTACTACATAATTTTATCCATACATTATCACGAAAAGCACAAAGTGAAATACTTCAGAATAAGGCCTAATCAAATCAAATAAAAAAATTCCATTGCTTTTATTGTGAATACATATCGAACGTCACATGGCACACACACACACACACACACAGACTGTTACATAAATCAGTATGTTAGGCATGCCTACAAGTAAGTAAGTAAGTCAGTCAGTAGGTGAGCACACATGCTCTAAAGGCAGGCACATATACATACTGAGTCAACTAACCCACCCATTGTCATAATATTGATGATACGAATAATAATAATAATAACAATAGTTATATGAAGAATATTTCGGTAATTAAGTTCTCTTTCATTTTAGTGGTTTATACAATATGCCAACAGCACAGCAGTGTATGTGTACATACACAATGAATACTATTGGAAAACAGAAAACAATAATTCTTTTAAAAATAGTGAAGAGACAAAACATGGTCTAACAACCCGTTCACTGTGAGTGAAAAAGATATGTATGTGTGCTGTCTACAGAATTTCGCGAAATGCCAGTATATGTACAAAAATCATAAAACTAACAGTATGTTTTAATCGAATTGTCTTGCTCAACATCTCATAATCAAAAAAACAGCATACAAACAACCTACCGAGTAACATACTCAAAG